CCGTTACTTTCAACGCCGTTAGTCCCATCACTGAATATAAACCTAACCATATAGCCAAAATCTAACCAAATTTTTACTTTTCATATTATTTATAAATCTCTGTGAATTTTCACAAATTTTGTACCAATCTAGGATTTTCTGGAGTCGCCTAGCTTGTCAAAAATAAATCTTTATATTAAGTTTGATTATAGACATTTCTGTGTTTACCTGACCAGCTCATCTAATCAAAGTAAATCACTAAAACAAAGGAGTTTATACTTTTTTATTTAACATGAATGTTGGCGAAAGGTAAATCAATCGATTGCTAACCATCCCTAATGACATCTCTGGTATCATGTTATCGAATTTAGATATGAACCATTTTAATCTAGTCCATCTCTTTTCCCATGTTAGAATGTGGTTATGTTGCTACAAAAGCCCGAATCGTTGGAGGTCAGAACGCAATCCCTGGGCATTGGCCTTGGCAAGCAAGCTTACAGGACGCCGGTTTCCACTTTTGTGGAGGATCCCTGATCAATGAACAATGGGTGCTGACGGCTGCTCACTGTGTAGGAAGGTGAGATTACACTCAAAGTCATTTAGCATTGTTACAATTATCTTGTCATGGGTGGCTTTTCTTTCCTTCTTTTAGCACAGGTGTGCACATACATGAATAACAGTGCAAGTTCTTAAAACTTTTTAAATGTAAAAAATGGTACTACCGACTGGGTTACTGGTTTTGGGGACTGTAGACCAGCCAACCACATTCAAGAAGAAAGCTATTTTTGTCTTTTCTCTTAAATTCGTTAATCTACTGTTCAACTATCTAAGAGCACAGACATCAATTGTATGCAGTGATCTCTATTTGTGCTCTTCATCATACTCCCTAAAAAAGGGAAACCTCAGTTCAAAACTGACTATGTCTTGTAATCCCATACACTTGTTTATATGATTCCATTGAATTAAGAAAATTCAGTAACTGAGTTAATAGTAAGTTTATTATGGTCAGATTTCAAATAAGTGTGCATAATAAGATCAATACCATTTAATATCCCCATTGTGAACTTGCTTAACAGAATCAAGTATTTTGGTGATGCTTAAATATGTTCAAATGTCACAATTTGTTTAAAACTAAATCAATATTTCATCACACAAAACCAATATTTGCTGACTGGGTATGATCATGAAAATGTATAAATAGTGAACTCACCATTCTCACCAATTTAATGTTTTTTTTGTGTATTTTAGTGATATTCTTACTGCTGAAGTCCATCTGGGTGTCCAAAATTTATCAGATCCCAACCCAAATGAAGTGAGTCGGGGGATTAAACAAGCCTTCTGCCATCCTGGCTATGATACAAATACTATGGAGAATGACATATGCCTGCTGGAGCTGTCAGCTCCTGTCAACTTTACAGACTACATAAAGCCTGTATGCTTAGCCTCAGGGGAGAGCACCTTTCTTGAGGGTACTAACAGCTGGGTCACTGGATTTGGAGACCTAGGTAAGTTCCAAAAAATGTATCTTGGTTATCAGTACTGTTTGTAAATTCCCAGCAGAACACTGAAATATTCCTTCACTTAGGTAACGGGATGAAACCTGACATCCTGCAGGAAGTAGAAGTGCCAATTGTGGGAAACAATAAGTGCTCATGTTACAATCAAGAATTCACCATCACAGAAAACATGATTTGTGCAGGCCTTGATCTGGGAGGAAAGGACTCATGTCAGGTGATCTGGATTTTCTTTAATCTGTAGGACATAATCTAGTCTAATGTCTTGCCTGGTAATGACTGAAAAAGAAATATCTATTCATCTTTCTGTCCAATTATCCAATCGGCCATCTACTTTCTATTTTCCTCTCTTAATACCAGGAGACCACAAGAAAAAGGCACTTAATAGTGGCTGTGTCCGGATGTCCACCCTAATCACTATATAGGGCACTCACTATATAGTTGTTACACCATTTTAGATGAGTGTATGAACAGCTAGTGGATGCAAAAGTAGTAGACTCGAAATTTCCCACTATGAACCTTGAAAAGTTGAGATCATCCATGGTCACTAGATGAGCAGATACATCCCAGAATAATTTGTGAGACCTATCCTCTCCTGCATCATGGTTTTTGTTGTGGGCCGGTGAGAAAGACTAAAGATGGCACATGCACCATGCAGGGAGGCAGAGTTATGTGACCAATGGGGAACAAAAATAGTGATCATCTGCCCGAACGGTCAGTTAACTGAGTTTACTATAAAGTCAACTGTATAGTCCAGTGGTGGCTGGTGGAGTTTTCTCCAGCAGGGGTTATAATTAAAAATGGACTAATACCAAAAATCAATCAAATATATACTAAGGTATCACACCAGTATATTTACATGAATGCCAACAACAAAAAACATCATTATAAAATTTTCTGAAGAGTGCTTTAAATTAGTCATACCTGTCTTAATCCATGCTGGGTCAGATCCTGACATTTGACAAAGAATGTAGGTAAAGCAGAATAAAGCGTGGGCCTCGCTGCATGCAGTTAGCCAAGCCTTGTTGCTAAATAATTATATAAACCCGTCAATCAGTCTCATTTAGTAACATATGACTGTGAAGTCAGCACTGTGGCGGTAGGTGGTGTGCAAATGGAGCTGCACCGCAGGATCGTCCTATCTTTTGCTTTGCAGAGGAGCTTCTGCACAACTTTAACAAGAGTCTGTGGGCAAAGATTTTTGCATCCCAGGGGCAAAAATATGTCACCATTCCCACAACCAATGAAATAACTTTACTTGTCATTATATGCTATTTTGAAATATTTTCTTCGTGTTTTAATGTCTTAATCCAGATCATTGGGCGGGGAGAACCACCTTGGCACTGTCTACTGTATTGGCCAGCTGCTAATTATATAGTCCCTGCTCTATATAATGATAAAGAGTTTAAAGGCTTAGGGTGGACACTCAGACACAGCCAGTGCCTTTTTTAAAGACAAATTAGGAAACAAACAATATGAATAAAGTACATCATCCTTATGATTTAAATCTAACTGGCTTGTCTTTCAATGCAAAACCACTGCCACCTGACGAAAGACATAAATCTCAGAAATTAAGTATAAAATAAGTCAATGTTTTAATATCTGTTTTCATTTAGAAAGTAATTATTCTCCAAGTAACTATGTTAGACCTAAATGACAATCCATTAAAAGTCTTCTTGCTGAATAAAAGCAAAGTGCTTTCTCAAAACATTTACAATCTTATTTTAAATCATAATTATCTCATTAGTTGGGGACATATCTTCTAAACCTCTAAATGTCTGAGTGACCAGCATTTGGGTCATGCCTAGTTTTCTGTACAAACTGCCTGTTATGTATTAAGCCTCAGCCTTCATTCACAACCACTATGAAAGATGAAGAAAAAACATACCAATGTTTCTTCAAAAAATACTGCAAAACATTTGGAAAAGCTGATGATATGCTGGGAAAATATACTTTACCTCAATGGAATAAAAGTCTAACTCTTCATGTGTAATTTAATTTCTAAGGAAGGATGGCATTAGATGCAGTATGATTCCCAAAGACACTATACGCCATTGAACTTTAGAGCTGCAAACTTGCATTGTGTAGGGCAATTTTTAATGCCAGACTTCATATGACCAAAGCAAATGTACATGCAGAAATATGAAATAAGTTTAAATAAAAGTCTTTAAAAAAGTTTGGCTGGATTTTAAGCAACACAATAACCCTTACCACGCAGTCAGGATTTTTTAAGAAGGTTTAGAGAAACAAAATAAATAACAAATAGCTGAATCTAAAGAAATCTATAGCAAGTTATGTCAACTTTGTTTAAGCTACAAACCTAATGTAGCTTAAAACATTTGTTATAATTTCTTTGTGGATGTAAATTACGTTTATTGTTTTTTAAAACCTTGGTAAATTACATTTAAACCTTTACAAAATATGATTACAAAGGACGCAAACGCAAGCAAGTTTTCTGTATCATTAGCGTGCTGTTGTTTGCTTGATATTTCATCAACAATTTGTGTGGCCAAAATGGGCAATGTTTTACTTCCTTTGTTTTGTCATCATAAAGGAAAAAAAAAACATCTTATCTATTCGCCAGTTTTAACTCCTCATTGCGGATGTCACAGCTTGTAAACCATAAAAAGTGAAAAATGACCAAACCAGAACATGTTATTGTTTCTGAATTTAATACAAAAACATAAGTGCTCACAATCACTTAAAAAACTCTTCTGTTTCATCTATAGGGAGACTCAGGAGGACCACTGGTGGTTTACAATGGGTATGTGTGGGTTCAAGCTGGAGTGGTGAGTTTTGGAGATGGTTGTGCCATTCCAAAGAAACCCGGAGTCTACGCTCGAGTGTCGCAGTACGAGAGTTGGATTAGGGACACTGTAGCTGCAAGTGAACCAGGCTTTAGTACCTTCACCTCCACAGGCACCAACTTTGACTTGTTCTTCGTCTGTACTACCTCTCCCTGGCCCACTGACGGTAGCATTTTTGACAGTGCTGACAACTTGAGTCACTTTACTCACCTTGTGGCTCTGTCTGCTCTTGCTCTGGTTCTCCATATCTTTGTTAGTGTCAGGGGAAATTGAATGTATTAATTATGTTTCTGCTGTGCATTCATTAATGAGGTTGATTCTTTTTCCCTTTCATAGTCCTTCCCTGCAGCTGTAGTCAACTATTTCTTATTTACTTTGATCATTTAAAATAACATATGAAGGGTTTATCTAGATTATAGTACAGCATTTAATGCCGAAATCGTAGTCTATAAAGCTGTATTAAATCCAAATAAAAAATTTTAACTAATCAAGCACTATGATATAGCTGGGTCTTAAGCAAATATGGGCTCATTTGCACTGATTTGTGAATAAATGTTTACTTTTAATCAAGCAATTCAAATGTTTATGCATTGTGTTTGTTTTTTGATTTGATTTACTACTATCTGGGAGTAAAAATAAAATTCAATTCAATTCAGTTTAT